TCCCTTGACTCAAAATTTGAGGCTTGTGTGCCTCGATCATGCGGAAATGGCCCCAGTGTTAGCTATCCTTTTTGGATTTCTCGGGAACAATATTCATTTTGTGGCTGGCCAAACTTTGAGATCACCTGCAAAGACAAAAGCCCAGTTCTTACTATTTCTGAAGACCATTATATCATCAAAGACATATTCTACAACAGCAATTCATTGCTTGTGGTCAGTGCTGTGGTCTATGAAGAAATATGTCCAATTCCACTTCGAAATTTTACTCTTCATCGAACTCCATTCAGCCTTAGTTCTGATAATTTCAATTTTTCCTTCTTACATAACTGCACTGAGCAGCCAGTTTACCCTACATATTATACAGTAAGTTGCGCTAGCAATGCTTCCCTCCATTTTTTTGTTGTTTTCGATAAAGACGGTTTGGAGTACATGAACTACTCACTGAAGTCATGCCAGTCTTTTGTTAATGCCCCAATATTGGGAATGGGTAGTAACTGTAATTTCACTAGTCTGGTGAAAACAAATTATTCTGAAATCTTGAAGATGGGTTTCCTTTTGAATTGGACTGCACATAGTTGCGGTAATTGTGAGAGCAGTGGTGGGCGCTGTGGATTTGATGACCATCAGTTTATTTGCTTTTGCCCAGATAAGCCTCATTCCAAAACTTGCAATGATGGTAACTATATAGGAAAATCACTTTTCCTCCAATTGTTCATTCAACTTGTTTTCTGTAGTTTTTTCTGCCTAACTAACTCAATTTTAGCTTTCTCCAATTATATTGGTTGATCTTGCACTGTGATTATAAGTTTGTTGTGTGTGGCAGCTTTGACAACCACATAGTGAACTCAGAGTTATTAGGTAGTCTGAGAAAATGAAATATTTTCTGCTTGGAAGTTTTTGATTAGCAACTTGTATGCCTCAAATATGAACTGCAGTTCATTCCACAATTGCATGGCTTCTAAATATTATCAACTTTTGCTTTTGAGGACCATGTTAACCATTTGGCAACGCATTCATCCCAAATGATTCTAAATTAAGTTTTTTAGATCCAGTTTTGTACTTTTTTCTTATACTTCACTATAACTTTGTGTTATTCTGAAATCTGAAATGATCTCTGTATTGCTGACTGAATCTTTGTCACAATCCTGGAATCTATTGGCTCCACAATCTTAGAACACATGGTTTTAGGTATGGAAATGTAATAGGAATATTATCTATCATGCAGTTATGCTTCTGCCAAGTTTTACAAACAAATATCTCCATGCTTGAAAGTATTAATTAAAACAAAATTTAGATTATATAGTTTTGAAGGAAGAATGTAGCTTGAAATATGGCAACTTTTGGATTGCACAATTTGCCTAAACCATTATTTGCCTTTAATGTCTATATTTTCTAACTCTTCATTACTTTGCATTGTTACACCCACAGGTGATGATAATAAAGGGAAACAGAAACCTGTTGTAGGTAATTTGACTCAATGATCTTTTTTGTTTGTCTGTTTCTTACTCGTGGTGTTTGTGTGCAGATTTCTTGTTGAAATCAAGCAAATGTTTAGTGTCACCATCTTAAGTAATAGGAATATTATCTATCACGCAGTTATGCTTCTGCCGAGTTTTACAAACAAAATATCTCTATGCTTGAAAGTATTAATTAAAACAAAATTTAGATTATATAGTTTTGAAGGAAGACTGTAGCTTGAAGTATGGCAACTTTTGGATTGCACAATTTGCCTAAGCCATTATTTGCCTTTAATGTCTATATTTTCTAACTCTTCATTACTTTGTATTGTTACACCCACAGGTGATGATAATAAATGGAAACGGAAACTTGCTATAGGTAATTTGACTCCATTTTTTTTGTTTGTATGTTTCTTACTCATGTGGCATTTGCGTGCAGATTTCTTGTTGAAATCAAACGAATGTTTAGTGTCACCATCTTACGATTTCCACCTCATTCACACAGGTCTTGGCTGTGGTTTTTTTGGAGGCGTAGTGATAACATGCATTGTGTTCATATCCTTCCTTCGGCGCAGAAGAGTGCATAAATATGCTCGATCCTCCTCTGTTACACACGACATATCCTCTGCTCCAGCTTCACTGACTGATCATGGGAAAGTAGGTAACTTCCCTGGAGTGCATAACTTCACCTACAATGAACTTGAAAAGGCCACCAATAAATTTGATTCTGCCATGGAACTAGGTGATGGAGGCTTTGGCACCGTGTATTATGGTGAGGGGAGAACTCAACGATACATCTTTTTCAATTTTAGTGTAACTAGTTAGAGAGGTTGACACTTTGATGGAAATCCTGTTACTCTTGTTTTTCCTAAACCAGGCACACTCCAAGATGGGCGACCTGTTGCAGTCAAACGCTTATATGAAAACAATTACAAAAGAGTGGAACAATTCTGGAATGAAGTTGAGATCCTAGCTCAGGTGCGCCACCGGCATCTTGTATTACTTTATGGTTACACCTCTCGCCACTGCCGTGAACTCTTGCTTGTATATGAGTATATTTCCAATGGAACCGTTGCTGACCATCTTCATGGTGAGCGTGCCAAACCAGGTTCACTTCCTTGGCTCATTCGTTTGAAGATTGCCATAGAGACTGCAAGCGCATTGACTTACCTCCATGCTACTGATATCATCCACCGTGATGTGAAAACCAACAACATTCTCCTTGATGAGAATTTTTCTGTTAAAGTGGCAGATTTTGGAATTTCTCGTCTCTTTCCAACACATGTTACACATGTTTCTACTGCTCCCCAAGGGACTCCTGGTTATGTTGATCCAGAATATCATGAATGCTATCAGCTGACAGACAAGAGTGATGTATTTAGTTTTGGGGTCGTCTTGATTGAGCTAATATCATCCAAGCCAGCTGTTGACATCACCAGGCACCGCCATGAGATAAACTTGTCTAATATGGCCATTAACAAGATTCAAAACCGAGCACTACACGAACTTGTAGATCAAACTCTTGGGTATGAATCAGACTATAAGGTGAAGACAATGATAACTGCAGTGGCAGGGGTGGCATTTCGGTGCCTGCAAGGTAGGAAGGACCTGAGGCCAACAATGGCAGAGGTGTTTGAGGCTTTAGAGGGTATAGAGAGTGAGGACTACAATAATGAAAAAGCAGAGGGGATGAACATTGCGACAGATGAAGTTGCGTTGTTGAAGACTCTATCTACAACATCTAATGCTAGTAAAGAAAAAGCAGAGGGGATGAGCATCGCAGCAGATGAAGTTGTGTTGTTGAAGAGTCAATCTCCGATTCACTCCCCAGATTCTGTGGCAGTAAAATGGATTAGTAGCTCTGCAACATCTTTTACCAGTGATTGATATATATATATATATATATAGCATCTTATGCTTTGCTAGAATTTAGAGGGTATATAATAAAATAGTATGTTCAACTTGTAACATCCACCATATTCAACAAGAGTGGGTCTGGAACGTTTATTTCATCCCAGCCTAGACCCTAAAACAACAAATGGAATGTACATACCATTTAGGAGATATGAATCACCTAGTATACAAAGCTCATTTACCTGATTTTATACGAAGCACATCAACTTTGTTGTCTTATGGTATAAACGAAATAATTATTTTATTCGCTTATCTTTGTTAATTGTATTTGCAGTTTCTGGAGCTAAAGACCTTTCTCCTTGTAATGCATGAGTCTCATTGAATTTTACTCTTGCATTGAAAGTGTGATGGTTGTACATATTAGTTGGATGAAACTCTCTTTGGCAAAAGAAGAAACTCTTCTTGTGTGCTTGACAGAACTATAGAAGATTCCGAGGTAGGACTGATATTGAAGTGCATATACATGGTAATCACCAAATAAATGCACTGCTTATCATGGCATTGAAGTGAGGGTTCTAATGGAGATGTAGGGGAATAGAAGAAAGGCTTCGGTGGCATTTTCAGTCTTTCTAGGCTACTTCCAAACATAAGCAACACTTTATTCATTAAGGGCCTCTGAGATGGGTTAGCCTGTATGCACCGTAGACCAACTAGTACCATCCTCTTTGCAATCTCATTATCATTGCCGCTGATGACACTATGCAATCCTAGCTTTCACCTTGCTGCAGAACTTAAAATCCCAATGGGGATAATATATATCTCTGCTATTATCCACTATGACATTGCTGTTGTTTCTCCCTCCCACCATCTCCAGCACCATCATTCCATAGCTATACACATCAGATTTGCGTGAAACTCCTCCGAAGTTCCTGCTATGCACTTCAGGGGCTATGTACCCAGTTGTGCCTCTGGTCTCCAACAGGGATACTACACTTTCCTTTCTGGGACAAAGTTTAGCAAGCCCAAATCTGAAATTTTTGGGCGGCAAAAGTCTTCATCTAAAAGAATGTTATGAGGTATTATGTCAAAATGCAAAATCCTTGTAGTGCACCCACGGTGGAGGTACTCAAGGCCTTGAGCTATCCCTATATTGCAATTCGATACGGTTCTCCCATCTCAGGGGCTGACCAGTTATTAGAGCATTGTCCTTCTCAATGAACTTCTCCAGGGAACCATTGGCCATGAACTCAAAGACCAGAGCTCTCTTGTTTCTCTCAAAACAATATCCAAGAAGGGATACAATGTTAACATGAGATATCCTGCTGCTACTAACACCTCATTTATGAAGTCTTCTGCATTTCCTTTACATGTGCTGGGGTGCAAGACCTTCACTGCCACTAAATGCCCATCTTTGAGCTTTCCTTTGTACACATTGCAGTAACCTTCTCGGCCTAGTTTATGCTTTGACTGAATTGGTTCTCTTCCTAATATCCGAACAGCGATATCTCTTGGGAGCAAGCGATCCATATTGGCTCCTCAAGGCCTCAACATTCGGATGCTTACCTGGTGTCATCGCTTTGTATGTTGCTAACATAATCTTAAAGAAACAAAAGATAATCAACGTGAATATCACTCCAACCGCACCAATTCCCAAACCTGTGTGAATAAAAAGATCAATACAAGTTTATCAACAAGAAAAAAAATTTCACTAGGAATGCAAGAATGCAAGTATGGAATGTTGGAAATGGTACCTAGTGAAAATTTCCAGCCTTCAAACTGAGGTCCTGTACAAAAAAACTCATCAGAGGCATATTGATTGAACAGGAAGTGTTAAAAGGGTCAAGTTTCATTTCCTTTTTGGTTCTGAGTCATGCCATTCACCGGACATTTGGAGGACACTAGTTGACCTCGGCAAATACAGAGAAATTCAAATGTAGTGTTAGATCCGCAAATCCCAACTGAATTCTGACATGCTTTACATGATCCTTGATGGGTATTATCATACACAAACTTCAAACCCTATATGCAACGCCCCCCTCAAAAAATTTTTTTTTCCACTAAACAGTTAGATATGACCGTAACTACTAACTGGAACCATGATATGCTTTCTGCACTGACTCAACCCTTCCTGATGCAAATCTTTTGCATAATAGTTATACATCAAACTTCCGTCACTCCTATTAGATATAAAAACATTCGCTGCAGTCGGAGCGGTGGGTTTAGGACAGTCATAAAACAAGCTCAAGTTTTGGACCCACGGGAAGCAATAATCAAACAGGATAAAATTCAGGGTGCTGTTGGGAAAAGTGAGGTCCTTGTCCGGAGGGGGACAGATATTATGCCAGAGGTCCAACCTTACAAGAGTCATCACGTTGATGTCCTACCGGATATGAGACACATGAAATTTTTGTCCCGTTATGTCCATGAATACCTTGGAGTAAGGTGGTGAGAAATTAAGATGGAAGCCTTCCGGCCGCAGACCTGGCCGGTTTGGTTTCCTGCCCAAAATGGGTAGCTGAGTATCTTGTTTACACAGACGAAAGTGGGTTTACAACGTTTGTACTGTCAATAATCTTTGCAGCAATTAAAAACAGGAAATTTTGTGAAGAGGAAAATGGATGTGATGGAAAAGTAGAAAAAGGCTGCTAGAGGCCTTGCAGTCCCCATGCGTTAACATGGACCATGTATAAAAGTGCAGCCGATTTTATAAATTTATTAAAATATTTTTAATAAAATTATTTTTTATATTATTTTATTAAAAATATTTTAATAAATTTATAGGATAAATTGTATTTTTAATTTATAATTTATATTGTATTACATGAATTTCTATATGTAAGTGAAAAAGAAAAAAGAAGGAAATAAAGTTTAAAAACTTAAATGCGTCGAGAGGATGGTGGCAAATTCAAACAGATATTGATGTGTTTTCCTTGAGCATGATGGAATTAGTTTATTAACATTGTCTTCTTGTTATTGGAATATCCGAATCCCATGAAAGCATGGGGAAAATGCCGTCCTAAAAACAGATTCCCCATGTTTGGGAGCTACCCTTCTGTCTCTTGATAGATAGTAGAGTGTTCTTTTCACTTCTGTCTGCTTGTCCAGCAGGAATCTATAGCCTGTAATGGAAGAGAAAACATGAATTTAAAGAATAGAGCTTACTTCTTGCAAATACATGAAATACTACATAACATGGTTTTCTACTAATATCTTAATACATGAACCATCCATGAGACTGGTAATGGCACTATATCAGTTACATAAAGACTGGCAATGGCACTATTCAGTTACATAAACCCACTCAATGGGAACAAAAAGTATTTAAATTATACTAACATGGATGCGGTGGCAGAAGATAGCGGTGACACTGGAGGAGAAGACAGGAAAGGCTTGGGTGGAATTGGCAAGGCTTCTATACTCCCTTCCAACATCTCGATCACCTTGTTTGTCGATGGTCTATCAGAAGGGTTTGTTTGGATGCACCAGAGGCCGACCAGTATCATTTTTTTCTCACATTCAGATTCTTCTGTGGTCCTGAGACCTTGCGATTCAAGTTCATTTGCTAGTTCTAGGTCCTTGTAAAACTGGTGAGGAAAATATATCTCACTGCTATCGATTAGTCCCATTTCAGAGCTCTTCCTTCCTCCAACCATTTCCAAGACCATCATTCCGTAGCTGTAGATGTCAGATTTATGTGAAACAGCTCCAAAGTTTCTGCTAAAGACTTCCGGAGCTATATAACCAATTGTCCCTCTAGCCTCCAGAATTGACACAATACTATCCTTTCGAGTGCATAGTTTTGAGAGACCGAAATCAGAAATCTTTGGGCAAAAATCTTCATCAAGAAGAATGTTGTGAGGTTTTATGTCCAAATGGAGAATCCTTGTGTTGCATCCACGGTGCAAGTACTCAAGCCCTCGAGCTATTCCAATTGCAATCTGGTATAATTTTTCCCATCCCAAGTGTTGATTGGCCTTCAAAGTGCTCTTCTTGAAGATGAACTTTTCTAGAGATCCATTTGGCATAAACTCATAGATCAAAGCTCTCTTTTGACCCTGTAAACAAAATCCTAGAAGTGTAACAACATTAACATGAGAAGTTCTACTAATGCTTGCCACCTCATTGATAAATTCTTGCCCATTCCCTTTGGATGCATTTAGGACTTTCACAGCTACTAGATGGCCATCCGGTAGAGTCCCTTTGTACACATCTCCATAACCACCTTGGCCAAGTTTTTCTTTAAATGAATTAGTCATTTTCTTCACATCTGAAAAACTGTATCTTTTGGGAGCTAGACTCTCATGATTTTTGATGAAATCCTCAATATCTCGGTCAGTTTCTGTTACCTTCTTGAAAACCCCCATTGGTATTATAGGAGACTTCTTCTTCTTCAGAAAATTCATCAAGATACAAGTAAGCAATACTCCAGTTCCCATAGTGGTGACAACTATTAACAAAAGCAGAAGATGAATCAGTCGGAGTTATAAACGTTATCCTTCTTTCTTTTACACTAGACAATTTTGATTAACATATCTTTACCAATATCCGTTACCGTACACGCATAAGCATTTGCTTTGATGAGAAATGGACTTTATGCCAAGTATCATACCTATAATCAGCTTACGGTTTTCTGCAGCAAAAGATGCCTCCCTTCCTGCAATAAAACTCAGTTTCATTAGATAAACTGCCTTTCAATTAATCCATTTGCTTAACAGGAACATGTTTCTCTTGTTTCAATAAAACTCAGTTTCATTAGATAAACGAATATTCGTTAACAAAAGGGTCTTCCAATTCATTGTTTTGCCCATTGGTTATGCATCTCTACCTCTAAATAGGATACCAATTTCCCAGCAATTGCAGGAATATATTGCCAAATGGGGTTTCAAGATGGGTATCATTTCAATCAGTTGGAAGGCCAATAAATATATAAATAATGGTGAATATGGTCCATACCAGAATTTCCACATTTAAAATCGTAAGGCTCGTCAGGGCAGAAGCAAACAAATCTCTGTGATGATGAAGTCGAATTGGATCCGCAACTTCCACCTGACATGAAGCATTTCGAACAATAATCCCCGTTCGCAAGATATTCCACATCAAATTCTGTCCTTAACAATTCACTTAAACCCACAGTTCCTGAGTTGAATTCATCAAGGCCCTTCTTTTGAACAGGAACTTCAACTATATTTCCACAATCCGTGGGATTTGTCTCGTTCTCCCCCAAGAACAAGTAGAATGTCGGCTTACCACCAGAGGTGCACTGAATTCTTTGTGAAGCATTGTTGCTTCCCCTTAAGCGAGGCAATTTAGAGCAGCTACCGACCAGAGTCATATTCACAACAGTTTCAGCTGGATGAAAGAGACTGTAATCCCAGGACGTGGGGCAAGAACCGTTGCCGGAGTCTATTCGCGAAATGGTCATCTGGAGTTGGGCTGATTGGCTGATTCTGAGAACTTGGAACTCTTCCCCATTAACCTCTATAACAGGGTGCCGATCAGTTTCATTGCATCTAAGCTTGAAACCCTCCTCCCCACAATATTGAGGTCGATCGTCGCTCCAGAAAGGATAAGAAAGGTTATCGAAGCCGCCGCAAGTGAAGGGAGGAGTGCACTCCGTAAATTGTGCATCGTCTTCTTGAGCATAGAGTGAAGGAGTGATGGCTAAGAGGATGAAGATGGAGAAGAAACGCACACCCATTTGCAGAAGCAATGCTCGTCTGAGGAATGAGGAGCAGGACGGTAGAAAAGGGTAGTGTTTACTAATTCTACGCATGTGGCGAAGACCACGTGATGCAAAGGTGGGTTGGCTCAATTTTGTATGTTTGCTCTTTTTCTTCCAGAGCCGCGTAGGGTCATAATTGGTTTCCTGAGCGAGAGTTGAAAAATTTATAGACATTTAAACAATAATAAAATAATATAAAAACAGAACTCACACTAACCCAAAATAATTGGCTAAAATCAAGGACATTCGAAGCTGTTACATTTTGTTTTTTTTTTAATGGTTAAACTTTAAATTTGATCCCTAAACTATTATATAAACCTTAGATTTGGTCCTTAAATTAAAAAAAATCATTGATTTGGTTTTTAGACTATTGTACAAACTCAATTTGATCCATACTATTTATTAATTTGCCTTAAATTGATCATTCCATATAAAAAATAATTGATGCATCCATTAATTAATGATAAAAAATGATAACTTAATGATTATATGTCATATTAATAATAAAACATGTTAGTTAATTTTTATACGAATAATTAATTTAAGATAAATTAATAAATAATAAGGATCAAATTAAAATTTTATACAATAATTTAGGGGCCAAATTGAAAATTTAACCTTGTTAATCTTTTCACCAACAGTGAAATGTTGAAGCTGGTACTTGGAAATATCACAAAGCACGGAATCTTGACTTTTGAGAAAAAGATGGGCGTGCGAAATGTCGAGACATTCCAAAATAAGTGTTTGAATAGTAAAAGAGTAGTGACAGATGATTAAAATTTGGACCGAATTAGTATAAATTGTATTGTTAATTAAGCTAATATATATAATACTATTGATATTAATAGGATAAAAAAATTAATTATAAAATAGTATTCAATTTATTTTTTAATATTTTATATAATGTGTGTCATATTATATATTAATTTTATAAACTTTATTTTTTTATCATTATTTATTATAATATAGAGAAAAGTGTTTATTAGATAAATT